AGAGAGAAGAGAGGAGGAACGACGTGATGCGCAGCTCATTACCGATCGTATCCGCGTGATAAAGGGCGGATAATTGTATTATTACGGAAGAATACGTGTGATAATAGTTCGCCCCCGAGAAATTACCGGGATGGACGTTCGTTGTTTCAGGGAACAGTAACGGAAGCCCAGGGCGTGAAAGAGAGAAGAAGCTTCCTTCGCTTTTCTCGTTAAACGTTTCTTCTACCGTGTTGCATGAGAATGACGTGTTTCCAACGGTGTAGAACAAAGCTCTCCTCTCTCTAGATATTCCCCCCCTGTATTAACCATTTAAACGAGCATTTAACGAGCTCGAACTTTATCTCCTCGCCCTGGCATCCCAACGTTTCACGCATCGATTCGAGCGTGTACCCGGTCGAGGCTATCGAATTTGAAACGGTATAATACGCAGCGGCAGAGTTAACCGTGTGTTGTTCGCCGCTCTCAATTATTGAAAATTTAATCGACGATTCGCCGGGACGAGCAACACCGGCGAAACGAGCAACAAGGATCCCCGAGAACTGTTGTTTCGACGTTGTTGCGGCACGCGGCAAATTTGTTCGCGCGCTGCCTTTCAGTCTCTCGCCGGTAGAGAAACGCCGTTTAAATTATTCTCCGCGTCTGGCAATTAATCCGCCGGATGAAAATGCCTCTCCACCTTTTTCCCCTTTCTCACTCTCTCTCTCTCTCTCTGAAAAATATTCGGTTGCACGCGGCGGATCGTCCTCGTGTACTCACGCTGTTCGCGTCTCGCGGCGTAATTCCTCGCTTTGGATACCGCCGGAGAAGAAAAATACCGAGCGGCTAGACGGTCCGGGTAACAAAACGATGCGGGTAATCACGACAGCGTTGAGAAATGATCGAGTGGCGGAAGCATCTGGCGCCCCCGTTGGCAAACGGCGAACGAGAACCCGGGGCTTCTTTGTTGATTTCCACGTCGCTCACCACGGGCCAGAATAATACCGCTGCGTCGCGCCGGTTCGTTCGGTCACGGTGTGCGGTTATTTGAATTTCTTAGGTACACAAGTGGCGAACGGGTCTGATTTTAAGGGAAACAAACCGGTATTATTCCGGCGGAACGCGCGGACTATGCAATATTAAACGCATGCAAATAAATGTAGCACGCGGCCGATAAACAGGGAACCCCCGGCGGGAATTTATTTACCCCTTTTCTCTCTGTCCCCGCCGCGCTTTCGTACTGTCCTCTCGCAGCCATTCAGACGGGATGAATTTCGAACGAACGCCAAGGATGCTCGTTGAATATTTGATGGGCACCGCGCGGGGCTGAAGATCGCGGACATAAGCGAGAAGTGTTTGGTCATATGTGTTTTGGGATATGTGTTACGTTCGTTACGTACAGAGAAAGGAAATTTTTTTAAATAAACAAACTTTCTGTGGTAAAAAAAATTCGACCAATTCGGAGAGATAGAATGAAGCTGTGTAAAGAGGCGAAGAAAAATTGAATCCTTCAAACTACTGAAAGCAAATTCCGATGGAAAGCGAGAATGAAAAAATTGCTCAATTCGAAAATAATACGAAACATATATGGGACGAATAAAAAAGAGGCAACAGGGTAAGGGAGAAACTTCAGTACCATAGAAAAATAGAGCCAAATATGTGGAATAAAAGGAAAGTAAAAAGTCACTCAATTCCAGAATAATTCGAACATGAATCGTTAAAAGTCTACAAAAATTTAAAAAAAAATTTCTCCAAATTTTTGAAGAAAACATTACCATTATTGTTATCAAAAATTGATTATCCTATTATCGTGCTGTACTAAATAAACGCACATCTGCCAAATAAACAGCTTCGCGAACAGTGCGATAGCCATCAGTCGAAATCACGCTAAAACATTTTTCTCCAAGCATAAACTCGCTCGTACACTTCACCAACGACCGATATCTCCACCGGCATCGTAAAAGCGGCGTGGATGTGAAATCAACGAAACCTTGTCCCGTATGAAAAATACAGGAGGAATGATGGCCGTGAGTAGAGTATATACAGGGAGGGCCTCGTATAATCACGGCACCGTTGAGAAATGACCGTGCTGCAGGAGCATCTGGTGCTCTGCAGGAGGAAACGGATAGAGCTTCCGCTGGTTTTCTTGTTGATTTCCTCGCGGTGCCGCGCGAACGAGAATAATGTTCCGGGTCCCAGGATCGGACCAGATGCTGGCTCTAGATCGATACACGCCGTTGTTATTGCGTCTGGAGATTCTCGGTGTATCGTTTATCCGTGAAGGAACGAGCTCCGCCATTTCGAGACCCAGAGATTGCAACCTGTAACAGACTTTAGCTGCTTCCTTTTCCTCTTTTCTCTATTAA